ACGGAGTAAAATTGATTCCATTCCTTCGTTCTTGAGATGCTAAGCTAGGGGCCGCTAAGCTCACTTAATACCGGTATATGTAGTGCGTAGTTGTAGTAGACAGCCTTGGACAGCCACTGACATAAAAATGATACATCTGTAAAGCTTGGTTCAATTAGGTAAGAGTAAGGAATGGAGAAAAGGAAAAAACGGTGGGAAACAACGAAGCTATTGAAAAGTGCGACGCTCAGAGCTGGTGATGGACCCTGCCAACCGATCCGCCCAGAAAGAATAGTATACGAGTGGTAAAAACTAACAGATGTGCTCTGCACTGAAAGTGAGAAATGTGCATGGTGGGAGAGTGCGACCGAGCAAACTGGTTCACCACAAGCTTTCTACACATCAGGGTGGCCACCAGAGAAATGAGAGCTGAAAGATGTTGAGGTTTTNAACGAGTTTTTGAAAAAGAGCCCCATGAAATTTTTCCCAAGATATGCCAGACGTTTAAACGTTTGAATTCTACTTGAACAGGGCGTCTGAGTCAGCGGCAAAACTTTGTAGATTTTTGGATAAACAGATTGCGGTTTCCACTGTGTACAAAGCTTATGGGAGACCTGAGTAACTTGAGCAAAAACCAGCCTATTGAACGCTTGGGTGAGTTTCCACGGTATGGTGGTCGAAGACCCCATCAATATGAAACAGTAAGCAGTGACTGGAAGCTGCTCGTGTCTCATGCTAACAGCCCCATGCTTGATGGTTGAGCGTGTGGGGAGTGAGGAGCTGGGTCGCGCTCTTCTTCGAAAGAGCGGCCGCTGTTGAAACTTCTGTTCCCTCTATTCCCTCTGTGACCATTCGTGAAGCAAGCCCATCAGAAATACTGTTTAAGCTAAACGAGGTTGAGCTTCTGGAGACTGTTCCCCTCATTTTACAGCCGAACGAAATATCGTCAAGTTCCCAACCGCCAAACTCGCCAGATGGTGATCCACTCCTTTCACTCGTCATCACTGACCCACCTTCTCCCATTATAAAGTCAAGCTTAAAAGGAAATGAGAAGAAAGGATAGAGAATGGACTTTTGAATTTTCGTAATGAGAAGAGCTAGGACAGTGTTAGGGGAAGGGAAAAAATTTCTCTGCGATTTTTGCTGGAAACTAACACCTAGTCCTAACTTTCCTCTTCTCCTTAGCCTTAATGCCTCGTCATCGAAGGCCCACTGGCCCTTCTATTTATTTTGTTTCCACTTCTTTCTGTCTACCTCAGTTTCTGCCGTAACTTTACTACACGCCTCTAATACGCAACCAGTTAATACAATGTCAGGTAACTATGCCCATCGCACCCTGCCATGTCTCATAGTCCGGTTTCAGGAGATTCACACGAGTCTTGCAATCGGGAAAGTTTCGTCTAACTTCCTCGCTATTCCGAACTAATTAAAATGCTTCGAATCGTATTACAACCAAATTTTTTTCCATCGAAAGTTGAGTTTGCATTTTGCCTCTGCTAGACTTCAATGCCTGAAACACTAAGTAACTTGTGTGTCATCTTTTTCTGGAGCGACTAATGGCCTAAGGACTACGCTAGCAGAAAAGTGAAAGAGACTTGCAAGTTGAATAACAGGTTGGGAAGGAATGAATGGAAAAGGAGGTAATGCAAGGAATTGTACAGTACACAAACAGACAGGAGATGAACCAAGGCTGCTGAGCCAAAGCTTCTGAGACTGCACGCAAGAATGTTGCGCGCCAGTTGGAACAGGAACACATGCTAGTGGAGGTCAGCTGATAGCAGTTACACTGTTCCTACTTCACAGATGACCATCGTTTTTCTGACGCCAGTCGGAAACGTCTACGAATATCAGGATACACAATGACGCATAACCACTTCTGCTGCCCCTGCTGCACAATTACCTTCACTTTTCTGCTTTCACTTTTCCCAGGCTTGACATAAAAAAATTAAGTATTTGCGCAGACAGGATGACAATAAAATCAGCTCAACTAGCGTTTTCTATACACCCAAGGAGAGTTCTGAGTTCCAAGCTTTGGCACATGACGAAGATCAGGAGCTCTGCGAATGCTCAATGATTAGGAATGCCAGACAGTGATATTGTTTTTGTGATCAACACAGGCATCTGCTGAACTCCCTGGTCACCGTAGCAGCTCAATGTGAAACCACTCAGAGTGTAATAGACTGCATCAGAAATGGCCGAATTTGCATCATGGACTGATTAATGTCGTTTAACCAACAGATGATCAGTTAGTGTCCTTTTTTCCTCGAACTACGTGCACTTCATTTCCCTGAGCCCAAAAACTCCGGAATACTTTGTCCGGCTAGTGCAAACCATCGATAGGTGGATGACGGCTTCCCCAGTTAACGCCATAAGAAGGACAATTCCTATTGTCCTATATTCTTGTTGAATTGGAACTTCTGGTTGCTATTCCTCTTCTTACCTCCTTTCTGACAGCCCTCAAAATGATCAGTTGAAATAATTGGAATAGTTGATGGAGCTGGACGGTAACCAAGGGGACCTTCGGTTGAGCAAGAAGATACCAAAGGACTGCGTCGAGTACAGGAGCAATAGGTAAAGTGACATCGAAGCACTGGTGCTTCCTTGAGAAAATCAAAAATGAGTGGAAGATGATATTGTAAATAGCGTATTATGCGAACAAACTAAAATATTGTTCAAAACTTGGAAATCGTGTGGAAGAGAGGCGGCAGACGTAACCGTTTCATGAAGGTGAGCTAATGTGCTTGGTGCTAGGAAATTTGGGACTCCGCCTCCTGTCCATGGGTTTCACAGAATCAAACTACGACTAAACGGATCAGCGGAATCTCTTCTTTTGAGAAGATGGTAACAGAGTGGTCCTGAAAAGAATTGGCAACGACGATCTCCTAGCACTTGTTATATAGGTAAGACAGAAATGGTTCCGAGTGCAAAGCGCCTCTCAAACTGGAACAATCTGGAATAACGGAAGCACTTCATATTAATGTTGGCGAAAGCAATTCTACAAGGAAACGAACCCACTGAAGATAGATTTCAATGTTTTTAATGAGTTGCGTCGTTGTAAAATGACCAACGAGAACGAGAATCCTAACTATTCTCGTCCATAAAAAGTTTAACGAGCCATTACACATCGAGTATGTAGCAGTCAAAGGAGTATGTTCTGAACGTCAATGACACAGAGTGCAGCCTGGAGGCCATCACATGACAGCTGTTCAGAGTTTAAAATGGATTTGATGGTGGGGGAAGCCGAGAAAAACAGCGAAACGAAATAGGATCAAAATCTCTGGGAGACAGCGGGTGTAGCACTAAATGAAGGGTAATTCTGAGACCATACATCTCTACCGTTCGGTTACAGAAATTCGTGACAAGCCGCCCTGTGATAACATATGAGTTCCGACAACGAGAAAGTATCGACGTCAGACGCTCCGTTCGCATCTGCTCGCCCTACGGTCTAGCCGGTTTCCTAGCATCTGCTCTTTCCTACTCAGTGAGTATTCCTGATAAACTTTGAAATAATAAAATTTTGGACGTCAATCAATCCCATTTGAGGGGTACGCCC